AATGCGAAGTAATTATGCACGTGATAAATTATTTGACATTTTATTGGTTAATAAAATATGTCAATTATGTGATTTGCATTATGCTTCATGAACCTAAAAACCTAGGTACCAAAATTGGAACCTAGTTTTTAAACTGTCCCATAGATTGTCCGGTGTCCGGAGACGTTTCCTTAGATAACTGCGTTATCACATTATTTATTAGATAACATTAACAGATAATCCTTCGTTTGATCGATTTTTGATTTTTGATTCGTATATCCAACGTTAAAAATGAAACAAAAATTTTCAGCCCTTGATGTGAGGGCCATGGTGTCCGATTTAAAAGAAAAGTACTATAGTATTTTATTTATTTATTTATTTTATTTTTTTTTTTTACATTCAACTGATCGATTATTTTAATTACAGAATTGTTGGCTTAAGATTACAAAACGTCTATGACATAAATCCGAAAACTTATTTATTTAAATTTTCAAAGGTCATTTAAAAGTATTTATAGAATGCATATTGTTAGTAGTCGCGTTCTTTAATTTTTAACGATTTATCATGTTTTAAATCAAATAAAGCCGGACAAGAAGGAGCTTGTGTTAATTGAATCGGGAAACAGGATTCATACGACACAATTTTCTCGGGATAAATCGATTACTCCTTCACCTTTTTGTATAAAGGTATGTATTAAAAAATAGTTATCGGATATTTGATATATGTTCCAAGCCCAGATTCGAACTATAAATCAAATGTTTCGAGTAATAATATTTTATGTAAAATTTTTTTTCAGCTACGAAAGCATATTAGGACACGAAGACTAACTGATGTCAGACAATTGGGTGTTGATAGGATCATTGACTTTGAATTTGCCGGCGTTGGTGAAGGCACAACGTACCATATTATAGCAGAGTTTTATGCTTCAGTAAGTTACTTAAATATATTTTGTTAATTTTATTTTGGCGTGTTATTCATTTATAACGAATATATATTAGGGAAATATAATCTTTACAGATCATGAATATACAATATTATCATTATTACGTGTCGTTCAACCTAAAGAAAATGAAAAGATTGCCGTTGGCCAAATATACAATGTCAATGCTGTATCTCGTGTAGGCGATCCTGTAACGAGGTTTCATTTACGGGATGTACTGATTGATCAAACTTCCAAAGATTCGCTAAAAAAAGTGTTAAATGCTAAGTTGAGTATGTTGATTACCTTAATTAATTATTATTATGATCACGTTTTAGTTTTGTATCTAGTAAAATAGTATAAAACCAATTATAGGTTACGGTCAGTCATTGACTGAGCATGCCATTCGCTTCGCAAATCTGGATCCGAATATGAAAGTCGGGACAGTTGACAAATCTGAAGGTTTATTCACGATTATTCACGATTATTTATATTTTATTATCCAAAAAAAAAAAAAATCTCTGGGTCTAATAATATTGTGTGTACAATTAGATTCACCGCATTTAAGTGCTTTAGAAGCTGGTTTCTCTGAAGTAGACCGTATAATAGAAGATGCTGCTAGGACCAGGCAAAAGGCATAATTGCATTCAATAATTATTATTTATGCAAATATTATATGTTTGGCTAATATTTATTTGTATTGAACTCTTACAGGGATATATAATTATGTTAAAACATTCACAAAATGATGAATCTGAAGTTGAAGATAATGTAACAACGTATGCTATTATAATCTTGCGTTATTCGTTCAACTACTCATCGATTTCTGTAAACTGAATTTTTAATGTTTTAAACTATTTATTTTCAGTTATAATGAGTTTCATCCTTTTCTTTTTGAACAACATAAATCGAAACCATACAAAGAATTTGATTCATTTGATTTGGCCGTCGATGAGTATTACTCATCTATGGAAAGTCAAAAATTATTATTAAAAGAGAGAAACCAGGAGAAAGCTGCAATGAAAAAGTTGGAAGCCATTAAAAAAGAGCAATATTCTAGAGTGGAAAATTTACAAAGTGCGCAGGAGATTAACATGCGTAAAGCTAGATTAATCGAGTCAAACGTCGATATAGTAGATCAGGCTATTATAGTAATAAGAAACGCTATTGCTAGTTCAATGGATTGGAAAGATCTTGAAAACCTAGTTATGGAAGAAAAAAAAAAAGGGAATCCAATAGCTGCTATAATTGCGGGATTGAAGCTTGAAATGAATCAGATTACGTTGTTATTAAAGTATATAAAATTTTTACTAATTTATAAAATTATAAATCACTTGGAACCGGTTTTATTTTTATGTTAAAATCGGGTTTAGCATATGAAAATAAAACCGGTTCCAAACTCTATGTTAAATACAAAAAGTGCATTTACTTATAGACATTTATAAAAAATAATTTTATAAATGTCTCTATGTTTTAGGACTTATATATAGGGTGCATTTAGAGAAATTCCTTACATTAATAATTCTATGGAATTATCTTTATCATTGTATAGTGGATTGACTTTTCTTTATATGATGCTAATATAGGGAGCCAGAAGAAATAGATGAGGCTTTTTATGATTCTTCAGATGAAGAATCTGAAGGAGAGCGGAACCATATGCAAGAGACAGTGCAAGATAAAGTTGACGTTGATATATACTTATCTGCATATGCTAATGCGAAGAAATTCTATGATGTAAAAAAGCAGTCCATGATTAAGCAAGCAAAGACTTTAGCTGTTGCTGATAAAGTTTGTATTAAAACAGCGCACCAACAAATGGTACATTCTAAATTTATTCAAATAATAGAACTTGATTATTTTCATTTTCATGTAGGCATTTAAAAGCGCCGAACAAAAAATTAAACAAGACCTTAAAGAAACAAAAACAACCGCATCCATAAATAAGATTCGCAAGCCTTTTTGGTTTGAAAAATTTTTATGGTTTGTCTCATCCGAAAATTATCTTGTCATCGCCGGGCGTGACATGCAACAAAATGAATTGTTAGTTAAACGATATCTTCGTAAAGGTAAATTTTACGCGGTGCCATATTTCTCTTTGCAAATTAAATTTCTCTTTGGTTAAAATAACATCTTTAATCCGGAAGGCGATTTGTACGTCCACGCCGATTTGCACGGTGCTGCTTCAGTTGTTATTAAGAATCCTAATGACAGTCAGCTGGTGCCTCCGAGCACACTTTTTCAAGCTGGAACTATGTCTGTCTGCCAAAGTAAAGCCTGGGAAGCGAAGATAGTTACTAGCGCGTATTGGGTCCACGCAGATCAAGTAGGCTTCTGCACACTATAGAATTTGTAACGTTTAATTAGTATTAAAGTTACTGTATTTTCCGAAATGATCCACATTATCAACATAAATGTCATGTTCAATTAGGTATCTAAAACCGCCCCGAGTGGGGAATACCTTACAACTGGTTCTTTTATGATTCGTGGTAAAAAGAACTTTCTACCACCTGTACAATTGGTATATGGCCTTGGCTTATTTTTCAAAGTGGATGAACAAAGCATTGCAAATCATTTGCATGAACGGCGTCCACTAAAAGCTGAAGAATCAAGTGAAATAGAAAAA